TTGCGTGCAAGTATGTTGACTTTCATGCTTTATTTAGTCTTTGATTAGGGCTTGCTACATGATTGATTTTAGTCTTTCCATACAAACCTTAATTACTAGCATTTGTATAAAGCGATGAATTGCGGAATTTAAAATTACTAAGCTATTACAATACTTGTGGGAGGGGGTGTACAAATTACAAATGGGGATTGCTAAAAAATAAACTTAATTATCTATTACAACCATATTGAATTTGGATAAATAATGTACAAAAATGAATAAATATACAAGAATGTAAAATGGAAAGAAAATAGATTTTTGTTTGGATTTTTTAGGGAAAAGGGTTTTGTTTTAACCTAATTAACTAAATGAAAAATAATTAATTAAATTAGTAAAAGTAAACCTAAATTTACTAGGGAAAGAATTTAAATAAAACCCTAATATATTAATTGATTAAAAAAAATAAATTAAGTTTGTAAGAAGAATATTTTTGGTATTTTTGTCTTAAAAATAATTTATGATATTATAAAATATTTTTTGGTCTTTTTATATATTAAAATAATATATTTTAATTGTATAAAAGAAAATAACTAAAAGAACCTAGTTTCTAATTAAATTTACAAATCAATTAGTAAAATAAATAAAGTATGATTAAATGAAATAATTTTTTATAAAAAAATAAAATAAACAAACTATATAAAAATATAAATCTAAGTTGTTATATATTTTTCTGATTTTTTAATATTAAATAAATTATTTAAGAAAACAAATAAAATAAAAATGAGAAAAAGAAAATGAAATGGGCCAGGGGTGTGAATAGTTAGCAGGGTAGACAAAAATAAGCAAAAAATACTGGGCCCAACAAAAGGAGCCCAGCGCTGCAAACAAGTGACAAAAATATGAGAAAATGAGAAAAAATAAGTAAAAGGGTACCACTGGGGCTCGAACCCAGGTCCCATAGGTTAACAGACACGCGCTTTACCACTGGGGTAGCTATACATCCATTCATATAAACAAAACAACAAATATATGATAGAAATCAAGTCCATGGCCTGAACTTCATCTTCAACCTCACGCCCAGCCAGAGTACCTGTATGTTGTTCATCTCTCATCCATTTGAAAAAATGTAAACATGAAACTTGTGGCAAATTTCCTCACGATTTCAGAAATGCAAAGCAATAAAATTATAGATCAAAGACAAGCATGAATTTTAATGGCCCTAATCTGAACTCTAAAAATTTCAGAAACTTCAATCTTAAAATTCTTTAAGCTCAAGCAATATAAATGAAAACTATGGACATGGTTAGCTTTAGAGCAATGATATCTACATTTTTCATTCACAAATAAACCATTAATGATGCTTGTATGAAGAGTTCAAAGTTGATATAACTTACCTCAAAATTGGAAATCGTGTTCTACAAATGAGCACTCCTCAAGGTGTTGTGATGATCAGTATAGCTCCACCGAAGTCCCAGGAAGCTAATGCAATGATTAGCTTGGTTGGAGAGTGGCTGAAATGGTCTGGAGAAGTCCACTTGCAGTGCTCTGTTTTTGAACTTGGAAATAGAGGAAGATGGTGTTACAGAACTGTGACAGGGTAAGGGATGACTTCTAAATGATGTTTAGGATCTTTAGGAACAAAGAGGCTTGAAAACGCACGAGGGAGTTATGAGTTTCAAACTTTTGGTCAGGTTATGTGAAAATGGAGGTATGAGATGCAAGTCTAAGTTCTTGGTGTTTTTAAGGCTCAAGCATGCGTGTGTTTTGTGACAAATTACTTGTGTATGTAAAAGAAAAAGGCTTGAGTACTTTGGAGAATCAGAAGTACAAGTTATAAGCTGATTGTTATGTTACTTGATTTTCAAGAAAAGTGGGAAAACAAGTTTCAATGTGTAGTACAAGCATGGACTGGATGATTGTAAGTGTTGAGATCAACTTCTCTTGAGTTATAGGACATGTATGATCATAAGAAAACAATTTCAAGGCTCAAGAACAAGTTTTGTACAAAAAGCTACTTTATCAAAATGGCATTGTGCACTTTCTTCCCAAAATGGATATAAAGCACGACCTTGCATTGAATGCTTGAATTGAGACCTCTAACAGTTGTACAAGCAATTAATTATGGAGTGCTTAACAAGTTTGAGGCCTGTAAAGTAGAGATTATGCAGCATAGGTTTGAAATTTGAATCTTGTTCATCACAAAATGACCTGTAATTCAAGTGTGAAAACCCTAACTTCATCTCTTCGATTCTCCCTACTCAAGAATGATATCATGGAGTTATTGGACATTTTGGAAAGCTTGTAATGTGATCTACAACCCCTATTTGAATCACTTTTGAAAATTCCCCTTGGAACTATATGAAAAAGTGCCATGAAGTTAGGTAAAATTCATGACCAAAACTAGGGCAAATTTTCACTAAGTGTCCAATTTCAAGACCATGACTTTAGGAATTAATAACTTGAGATCCAAGCATTTTTAGGAGAAGTTGTGTAAAGCAATGTTGTAGATATCATGGAGATCTACAACTTTCACGTTGAAAGTTTCTTCTGAATCCTCTTGCATCATGGTGAAAAATTGGCCCAAAGTTATGAAAAACATGAAGTTTAAACACTTAGAAAAATTTCTAAGTTAGAAAACTTTGACTTTTCAAAATGAAATCTTGACTTTTTGATTTCTTGATGAATAAGTTTCATATTTTGACATGTTTTGATGAATTGTGATCTTTGACGACCAAAAAGTCAAAGTTTGACTTTTCAGTATACAATTGACTTTTTGATCAGTTGATTGAAAATTCACTATCCATCCAATTGATCTTGAGCAATGTTTTAGGTCATGCAATTAGGTCAAAATTATGAAATTGAATTCTTGAAATCATTCTTCAAACTAATTGTCCATTTGCTAGGTCAAAAATCAGAAATTGCCTTTTTTTAGTAAAAACCATAATTTTGACTATTTTACCCTTTTGATGATGTGATCAAATTTCTTGAGGGATTATGGTCCAAACTTGATCAAATGATACATACGAGTTTATAATGTTGATGTGGATAAAAAAATCATGAGGTTTGATTGTAAATTGGCCATAGTTGACTATTTCCCCAATACAGTTGATTTTTAGGTCAATTGCTTAAGAGCAAAAGTGTGATCCAAGGCTTGAAACTTGACATGAGTAATCTTGGAGGTCCATAATGATCCATGAAAGTTATATGAAACATTTAAAGTTCAATTATCCTTGTGCAATCTCAAACCCTAATTTTGGTCATCAGTGCTTGAGGAGGTGTCTTGAGCTGATCAACCCTAGTGTAGTCTTGACCCAAGAGAGATTTTTGTGAAGAAATGTTTGATAAATGAGACGACAAATTTTAGGGTACAACACATCTCATATTTTATTTCATTTTTAATTGAATTTAATTACTTTTTATTTTGTAAATTATTAAAATAATGAATAAAGAAAATAATATTTTTTTAATTCATAATTAAATTTTAATCATCTTCATCTTCTACAATTCCATCGTTTATCCAAACCCAATTTTTTTCCAGATTTTCAATAAATAAAATTATGTTTAGTCAGATTTCCAATTTTATTTAAGCCTTGTTCAAGTCTTTTGCATCAACATTCAATCAAATTCTTTTGCAACCAATTTTTCCACCTCCTTCAGTAACCATTCTTCAATATCCCAATTCTTATGTATCCCGTTCAAGTCTTTGAATTGCTTATCCTCATCATTATCATTTTGAATATGCTTCACGGAACTTAGTTACTTTCATGTACAACCCTTTATTCCAAACCCATTTGTTATGGTCTCAAATTTCATCATTGTATTTCTAGGTTCATAAGAAAAAAATCCAAATCCCATGTTTATGGTCTTAGATTTGTTCATTGCATTTTGAATATGATATTATTTTCAATATTTAAGTTACCATAATATTCCATCAAATTTCATTAGTTATGACTGCTATGTTCTTTGAAGCTCAAAAGCAATTTAATAGGTTACTGGTTCAAGAGGATAGATATTGGAAGCAATTGACGAAAATGCACAGGCTTAAAAACCCTTTATTCCAAACCCATCTATTATGGTCTCAAATTTCATCAGTTTAGGTGGGTGAAGAGTCGGGTAACAAATCACATGATAGAGAGGTTGGACCGATCGCTAGCTACACCAGAGTGGCTTAACATGTTTCCGAAGGCTAAACTGTTGAACCTCATCGCGTTGCATTTGGACCATAGTCCCTTGTTGCTTGACTGTGAACCGGTTGCGCATGTGGAGAAGCAGTTTACTTTGGGGTTCGAGAATAAATGGTTCACTGAAGATGGTTTTGTGGATGTCGTGGAAGCAGGCTAGAGAGAGGGGCAGCCGGTAGAGATGGAGTCCTGTATGAGTTCATGCGCAAAAACGTTAAGCAGCTGGTCTAGAAAACTTGGCAAGAAGGAAAAATTTAAAGTGAAGAAGCATAAAGAAGCGTTGGAAAGGTATATGGGGTGCAGAGATCAATCTGAGTTTGCTATGTTCTTTGAAGCTCAAAAACAATTTAATTGGTTGTTGGTTCAAGAGGATACATATCGGAAGAAACGAGCGAAAATGTACTGGTTAAAAACGGTGATTTTAATACAAAAAAATTTCATCAATCAACTACTGTTAGAAGGAGGTAAAAAAAATTGACAAACGTGTTAAGGAGGATGGCAGTGAGGTTAAGTATCAACAGGGTTTGGGGGCGGTTGCGAAAGTTTATTTTGAAGGTTTATTTACGGCTACGCATGGTTTATCAAGCTAACTTCAAATCTCCATTTGTGCGTGAAACAATAACTCCTGCAATTTCCATTGAAGGCAAGCCAGGAACCTCTGAAGCAGACTTTAAGTATGCTGACTTCCATAAGAAACTATGATTTAGGATCATTCTGGAATGCATTCATCACATATTAATTACCAGTTCATCTGATTATGTCAACACAGATCATAAATGTATATTGTATCTTCTGATGAAATGGGTAAAGGTACATCTTCTGTCTCTTCTTTTTAACTACATGAGAGATTCAGTCATAGGAACTAGAAAGGTCAAATCTGGAAAGTGCAAGAAGAATTACATTTCTATGGGGAGATTGATTTCAGATATTCTAATCGAAAATGGCCTCATAGAGCATCTCACTAATCAGAACAAAATGGAAGGTATTGAGGCAGATATTGGAAAACCCTTCAATGGTAATAATTTTAAAATCTTGAATATTGTTGAAAGGTCATGGGAAATAATTAAACCAAGCATTCCTGAGGATCTACAGAATATCAAGACTCTCAGGATATCAGTTTTCGGATATCCTTCATTTACGGATTTTGACTCACCAACGACTCTAACAACTTATATCAAGGGGATTAAGGCAGAGTGTACTGACAACTCTAAAATTAAAAATAATGGTAAGAAATCATATACTCTCAAGAGGAAGTCTGATTCAATCCAGAAGAAGAAGAAGAAGACAAATAGTAAGAAGCAGAAAAATCTGGAGAAAGGAGATTCTGCTGACATCAATGTCTCTGCTTCTCAAGCTAGTAAGTCTTTTGAAGTTAGTTATGTTACTTCACCTATTCCTATGTCGCCTTTACAAACTTCTACCACAATTACAGCTTCATCCATTCCACCTTCATCTATGGATATTTCCACTTCCACTGAAAAATCCAAATTAATTACTCCAGCACCACAACAAACAAGAATCAATCCAGAAATCACCATTACCACCTCCTTTACAAACTTCTCTTTCACCATTTTTCCACCAAAAATCAGACTTTACAAAAACTCCACTGACAATCATCACATCTCTACCAACCTCTGATGCTCTTATATAAGAATTTATTCCCACTTCTAATCCAGTTATTTCTAAACCCCTTTCTACCTTAAACATTCCACCATTACCAACACATTCTAATCTAAATAATAACAACATCATTGATGAAACCCATGGCTCAACTAACTATAATGACACCGTGTCTGATAAAACCATTTCTGTTGAGGATAACGATAATCTTTCACCTTCCTCTAACCAACCTCCTCAGAATCTGATCTTGGATAAAGCAATTGATATCTTTAAGAAAGATGCAATCAAAAGAGTAAATGAGCTCAGAGAGGAATCTAGTTCAAGCATTGATTCTTCTCACTTGAACTCTATATGGGATCAATTCAAAGATTGGATGGCTGATGAATTTCTTAAAATCAGAAATCTCTCCACTCAGTCACAAGAAAAGTTTGTCTAGAAAGCATATGAGAGATATTTGGCGATAGAAGCCAAGAAAAAAGCAGAAGAGGAAGCTTCTCAGAAACAGGTCGAAGAAGAAGCTGCCAGAAAAGATGCCATTAGGAAGGAAGTAGTAGAAACTTCAAATGTTCCAGAAGATTCCAGTATTCTAATACAAACTCTTGATGAGTTGAAAAAGGAACAAGAGATTGTCAAAGAAAAGTTCAATAAACAAGAAGACTTCAACATAAATATTGAGGACATGTTTAAGCAAATCCTTAAGAAGCTCCCATCTTCTAACCCTTAAGCACTTAGGAAAACCTTTGTTTTTTATTCTCTGTTCTATCTTGTCTTGTTTTTCTCATGTACTCTCTATTTGTTCTTTCAATGAATTATCTTTTTTATTATGACAAAAATGGGGAGAAGCATAATGATGATTTTGATGATATACTTAATTCTCTAAATCTCAATATATATATATATATATATATATATATATATATATATATATATATATATATATATATATATATATATATATATATATATATATATATATATATATATATATATATATATATATATATATATATATATATATATATATATATATATAACGTGTTTCAGGTACATTAAGAAGATAAAGGATAAAATGGATTGAGAACTTCGAATGTGTAGAATGTTCTAAAATGTCAAGCTTTGATAAGAACTTCTAATGTTTGAAAGGTTTTGTTAAAATCAAACTCTGATAAATGAAATTCTATTGAAAATAATGTTCTGATATATCATGGATTGATAACGAACTTCAGATATTGAGAAGGTTATAATAGATCAAGCTTTAATGAGAACTTTTAAAGTCTAAAAGGTTCTAACAAATCAAGTTGTGATAAAGAACTTCTAATTATTAGAAGGGTTTGTTGATCAAACTTTAATAAAGAAACTCTAAGGTGTAGAATGTTATGAGATCGAGTGTTGATAACAAACTCCAAACATTTAGAAGGGTCTGATAGATCAAACTATGATAACGAACATCTTTGATGACTATAAGGTTCTAATGAAGAAAGAAAATATGATAAAGCAAATTTGATAATTACTTCCATATGCTTCAATCATAATTTTGGATAATGATAACCAAGCTCAGAAAACCCTACTTTCAGATAAGGTCTTACATTTTAGACTCAGGGGGAGATTGTTTAACTCATGGGGAGTTTTCTAAACAATGCTCAGATATCCCTTCCTTCTAAAATCTTTAAGTCTTAGACTTAGGGGGAGCTTACGCTAATCAGGGGAAGTTTTCTTCTTAACTCTGATTCGATTATGATATTACCTTGTAAAATTGTTACATCAAAATACATGGTTTGTCATTGTGATACAGTGGGAAGAACTGACTGTTTTTTTTGGAATGCTGGTTTGCATTTTGCGTTTGTTTTCGCAAAATGTCGCGGTAAGAAAGAGTCGCCATCGACTTTTATTTTATCCAACAAGGAAAGGAAAAAAGCACAGAAAAATTCCTTTTTCGAGATATTTCTCGGGTTCAGGGGGTAGATTATAGAAAGGGAAGGTATTAGCACCCTTTCTATCCGTGGTTATCCACGGGCTCTTAGGTACTTGCTCAATTGTTTTCAAAATGGTTTTTTTTGTGCTTGTGGGTTTGAAAAAGTTTTTTGTTTGAAACTTCGATTTAACTCTTGCTTCTGTCCTCAAGAGTGTAATGAAGTGTTTTTTTGAAAACTTTGTTCGAAAAGGAGTGTAAGTGTGAAAAAGTTTTTGTTTTTTGAAAGAGCAAGTACTTAAGAACTAATCTACCTACTCGAAAAAGGAATCATTCTGTATTCGTTTCCTTTAGACAACGCTATCCCACTATTAGTGAGTAGGTAGCACCGTCGTTGGAGTTTGAGGGTCAATTCGAATGAGGGACATACGGTCACTAAAGCAATGTTAGGACGCCTTAGCGGTAACCCTAATGTCTTAGATCATTTGTTTGAGGCAACAATATCTGAGGCAACCATTTCGAGGCGACTATGATCTTTTAGACAAGAGGGCGACCTCTAAAACGACTTATACTCAATGACCATGTACGAAGGCAACCAAGTGGGGGTGTACCATAAGAGTGCGCATGTGCGAGTGTGTCGTTTTCAGTTATTTTTTATCTTTATACATGTTAAAGGTGATCTAATTTGATTTTAAGATTAGCATTCAGTCTTGTCATGCAACCCTATTATCAAACATCCAACAGTTATAATTTGCGGAAATAAAATGTGGAATTTAAATTACAAGGCGTCGGGTATTTACATCGCCAAAGACAAACCCTTTGAAAAATAAAATAAAGCGATAAAAATAATAAAACGTCCTATTTAACTATTACAATCTGGAAGCAGCTACATTATTGGATAAAAATAAGTAAGTCGCGGCGCAAAATTAAATCGGACGTATGACTAGGGTTTTGACCCTTTTGGTTAAAGAAGAAATCTTTTTTAGGTTTTTGTTGTTTTTTATTTAAGGGAAAGAAATTAAACCTAAATTAATTACTAAATTAAATTAATGAATTAATTAAATGAAAAATAAATTATTTTTGGAGTTTTGATTATTTAGGAAAGAAATAATAATAATTAAATTAATGGTTAAAAACTAATTAAATCTAATTGATTTTATTTATTTTTACAAAAGGAATTAAAGTTTTCTAATTAAAACCTAATTAATTAATAAATTTATTAAGAAAAATAAAAGTTTAAAATTTGATTTGAAATAAAATATATTTTTTGTGATTTTATTTGATAAAAAGGAATTTTGTGATTGGTTAGAAATTAAACAAAAATAATAAAACAATTAATAAAACAAAATAAATAAATAAAAGAGAGTGGGGTATTGGGCCTGAATTTGTGGTGTGAGTAGCAATTCTGAAGCCCAACATTGCTGGCCTTCTTTGACTTTTTGGGATCTGGTATGCATGCCTAGACTTGGCCTATGGTGGACCTCCAATCATGGACCACCAGATCTGGCCTTTGGCCATCTGGAACTTGAGTGGATGGAAGATCATGGTGTACTGTCGGCTTATGCGCGCATAGGAACACCTGAAGAGAAAAAATATTGAGAAAGTGGGGCACCTGGGATTCGAACTCAGGTCCTGAAGGAGATATGAACGCCTGCCTTGCCAACACACCACGCTACTTCATTTGTTGTTATAATACATATTAATCATAATATATTAAAACAAAATAAATGCCAGCAAAAATAAAACGCGCAAAAATTATTTGAATTGGCCAACCGGAGGATGACACGAACTCATCCCTGTCCTCAGACTTGTAACAAAAATACATGCAGATTTGAATCCGCAGCTAAAAACGCAGCTTAGGCTAAAACTCTCTCCAAGCCATATAAATCCATTGCAAGAACATGGTTGGATTCGTTATGGCCTCCTGATCAAAGCCATGTTCTTCTTGAGTCACAATTTTACATGAAACAGAAAACCTAAAAACCAAACGAAGAACCCTAGCTATAGTGGTTCTCCATTCAGGCCAGATAAACACAATTGAATAATACCAATCCCTTGCAAATGTTATGTAGATTCAAAATATGGTATTGATTCATGAAAAAGATGCTTAAATTCAGAGTTGCAAAATCAAGAACAGGGGTGGCTATCGCGTGACTTACAGTGCGTTTGGACGTTAGAAAATGCTTGATCTGGATCCAAGTAGCTTGTATGAATGGTCAGGAAGCGATTGAGACCACTCTCGTGTCCTGAAACAGCCTCTAGCTTGGACTTTGATCTCCCACTTTTTGTGAATTTTTGCACTTTTTTTCTGCCTCTCTCTGCACGTTCCAACTCGGATTTCGTATCCCTTGGCTTGCTTATGTAATGTGTTTTGTATTAGGGTGAGAATCATGGACTGAATCCCTTCATATCAATGCACATGAATATGATTTGATCTCCATTATTAAACCTTTCCAAATTTGATCAAATTCAATATTTGTGCCCATGATTTGATTTGATACGAATTTCATGGTGATGCTAGCTGTGAACAAAGCCTAAAACAATCAGAAAATCATGAGTTATTAATTCTTTGGATTTTTTATGATTTTATTTAATTTGAAATGAATAAATTCAATGAAAAATCAAATTAAATAATAAATGTGAAATATGGGCACATGGCTGAAGCTAGGGCACGTGGGCAATGATGCAAACCCAAATCAAGTGGAAAAGAATGGGCCCATTTGACAAAAGTTGAAGTTTTGGGGATAGTTGACTTTTAGCAATTTTGCAAAAAAGTCCAACTTCAACAATGCATAACTTCTTCAATTTTGAACTTTTGGAAGTATTCTTTGACTTTTTAGAAAGCTTGAGATGTCCTCTAACCAACCCTTTTGGTCTCATCTCATTTTGATATTCCATGCTTAAGTTATAAGCTTTGGAAAAAAGGTGTTTTTTTGTTGACTTTCAAAAATGACCTATAATGTCCAAATTTATAACTTCTTGTGAGTTCATTTTTTGATCTTGGGGTGTGAAGATGGATTATAGGGAATTGCATCCTCTTCAAAGTGAGCTTTTTATTTGTCATTTCTCATAAGGTATGAGAAAGTTATGTTTGGTCAAAGATGAGTTG